ATAAGTATATATATTCATGGTTCTGTTTCTCTAGAGAACCCTGCCTAGTCCAGCCACCTAGGGACTTTTTCTATATACACGTTATTGTTGTTAGGCGCCGTCGAGTTGGCTGTGACCCAAAGGGACCCTGTGCACAACGAAACACAAGGCTGCAGGGTCCTGCGCCCTCCTCACAATTGTTCCTATGTCAATTGATGCTGCCGCTGTGTCTGTTCATCTCCTCTAGGGCCTTCCTCTTTTTCACGGCCCCTCCACTTTACCAAGCAGAATGTCCTTCTCCAGGGACTGGTCTCTCCTGACACATGTCCAAAGAATGTAAGATGACGTCTTGTCATCGTTGCCTCTAAGGAACACTCTGGCCTTATTTCTTCCTATACAGATCAGTTTGTCCTTTCAGCAGTTCACGGTATTGTCAATATTCTTCTCCAGAACCACAATTCAAATACATTGATTCTTTTACAGTCTTCCTTATTCAGTGTCTAACTTCCACAGGCATATGATGCAGCGGAGAGTACCGTGGCTTGAGTCAGGCGCACCTTAGTCCTCAGGGTAACATCCTTGTTCTTCAGTACCCTAAAGAGGTCTTGTGCAGCAGATTCATCTAATGCAATACATCTTTTGATCTCTTGACTGCTGCTTCCATGAATGCTGATGTGCGTATATACACATACACTAAAGTGGAACAAAGCAAAAAAAACCAAACCCATTGCTACCTCAAGTCAATTGCAACTCATTGGGTCCCCACGTATTATAGAGTAGAACTGTTCCATTGAGTTTTCTTGGCATAGCTGGGTACACCTGATAATAACAAAGTCAACAGTTTGAAACCACCAGCTGATCCTTGGGGGAGAGATGAGGCTTACTACTCCGGTAAAGATTTACAACCTCAGAAACCCACAGGGCAGTTCTACCCTGTCCTGTAGGGTCACTATGAGTCAGCATTGAAGGCAGTGACTTCTTTTGAGTTTAATTTTTACAGAAGCAGGTCGCCAGGCCTTTCTTCTCCAGTGCTGCTGGGTGGGTCTGAACTGCCAACTTTTAAGTCGATGAGCACAAACTACTCCCACCACCCAGGGGACCCTCACATGTACATACATGAAAACCGGTTGCTGTTCAGGTCGTTTCAACTCATGGTGACTGCATGTGTGTCACAGAATTGTGCTCCGTGGGGCTTTCTTAGAAGTGGATTGCCAGGGCTTCCTTCTGGGGCACCTCTGGCGAT